TGGTTGAAAGCAGAAAAGAAAAATGTCGATTTAACCGTTGTGCAAAACCTTATGGGTGGAATTAAGAAGAAAGTTCGGGCATATGGATTTGGTGAAGAAGTAGAGTAAAATAAAGATACTTATACCAAGCTTATGTATATAATAACATTCCCTGAAAATTTCATGACAATCGGTTGAGAGACTTATTTTTTGTGAAGGTAGTACTTCTAAGTGATGCAATTTAACTGTGGATACCCTTTATCTCGACCATATACGGCACATATATGACAAAACAGTTTTCGTCAGTCACTCGATCTAAAAATTATCTTCAATGGATATCATGTCAATTGTCAGTGACAAAGTTATCAAGGACAAAGATGTGCAGTTTTTATTATAAGCTAAATTTGTAACTAAATTAAATGAATTAAAGAATTAAGCAAAATCCATGAAGCTGTTGAAGTGAACAAGCATCTACGCCCTTAACTGTCTGGATAACAAAAATGATTAAAAGAATGCAATAAATTACACACTTTGTAACTCCGCGTCATCAACGGCACCGGTGGTGTAGTGGTAAGCGTGATAACCTCTCACCCCAGCAGGCCTGGGTTCAATCCCAGTCGGCGCCGCCGGGATGTTCTGAGGCATAACATCTCTGATCACGCCTTCCTTCGGATGGGAAGTAAAGCCGTTGGTCCCCGGTTCATGAGTTGATGGGTCGATAGGTAGGGTCCAGGTGTGGGAGCTGCCTTCCTGGCACGTCGGTAACATTGGTGCTCAGCACGGAAAACAAGATCGACGGAATAAACAAACCAAAGGAAAAAAAAAAAAACTCCGCGACATTGACGAAAAATGAATGAGATTTTGAGGAAGGTTTGTGAGGGCCATTTCTTCCAGTACTAATATCAAACATAATTTTGTAAATATCGCGTGAAATTTTTCAATGACAGTTACGGTTGGTAAACGGCTGAACAATTGCCTACCTGTAGGTATAAAATAGACCCCAATGTGGTCCTTGGTCCTAACCCTACCTCTCCGCGGTGCCGGTTGAGGTACGAGTTACCCTAGGAAAGATCGGGAAACCTTCTCCGGTAGGCCCTTGGTCGTTTGCTGACAGGGAATGGGGGGGATAAGACTCCTCTCTCCGGACGGTGCAGTCTTTCCGAGCGTCTGTTATCCATGTTAGGCCAGCTCAAAACAGCGTCTGTCTGGGAGGCTGATCATCGTCCTCGTGCCAGCGTAGGACTCTTAACCCTCCGTTACTCGCGCCAACTTTTGTAACACGAGTACTCGCGCGTTGTACTTTGTACAACAGTGTGAGTTATGCATTGCCATTTTGCAGCCGAGCTACCAATCGATTTGAAATCAACGGGTATACCTTAAAAAACTTATTTTTAACCAAACAAGCTAAACTTTCATCACAGTTAACCCCCAAAAAATGGGGATAATAGAGAAAATGTGAATGGAAACCGTGTAAACGGTGTCCGTACTACGTTGGATTTGACTTAATTGGTTACAACATGGAAAATCTCGAGATCCTGACCAGATAGAAAGTTACTGTCTTCGGCAAAGTTGTTCTAGAGACTATAACCTTTTCGCTGGTGGAGAGTAGTTCAGAATTTTCTCACTACGTAGCGCTATAATACATAAGAATGTTACTGTCTTGGGCAAAGTTGTTCAGGGAGCCAAGGACTTTTGGATGGTCGACAGATTTGTTTTTCACATCATTGCGCTTAAATACACGTGCAATTCTCGCATTAGATATATCTCGAGACCTGCTAAACTGTCATCGGCAAATTTGTTCAGGAGATCAAAACTTTTTCGTTGGTCAACAGTACAGAATTTTCTCACTACGCGGCACTAGGATATACGTGAAGTCTTCGCATATATAATATCTCGAGATCCTGAACAGCTAGAAATTTACTGTATTTGGCAAAGGTGTGAGTCTTCCACTTGTATATCTCTGATAAATTAGTGGTAACACGTATCTCAGATGGAAAACATTATCTTAAAAGATCGATATCGCTGAAACTTCCACCAAATGAATGTTTAGAGTCTCCCTTTCATTTTAGGCTAATTTCGAAATGTCTTATCGAGGGGTCTAGAATAAAAAAAAATCCGTGTATTTACGTGTGCACGGACATCGAGACTAACTCAGAGAGTGAGGCACTTTTGTTCAGCTGAATGGAGAAATTTATAAAACCGTACACTCCCGATCATAAGTTTAAGGACACCTTCTAAAAACACCCAAAGTTAAACTATTTTTCAAAATTTACTCTGAATAATCATGATTGATTTTCTCAGAATTGACTTGAAAAAATTTTGAAATTAATATTTGCATGTTCACCATCCGGAAGAACTTTGTCGCATGTACAACTTTGACGATGACAGTTACTTCCTGACTTTAAGCTATAGCATATACAAATATTTTACATGCACACTAGCACCGCATACCGAAAATATTCTGAACTATTTACTATTCACCAGCAAAAATGCTTTGATCTCAACTTTGCCGAAGACAGTAATTTTCTAGCTTATTCGGGATCTCGAGCTGTAGCATATATGAGGATTGCACGTGTATACTAGTGCAGCGCAGTGAGAAAATTCTGAACTACTGTTCACCAGCCAAAATACCTTGACCTTCTGAACCACTTTGCCGAAGACAGTAACTTTCTATTTGGTCAGGATCTCGAGATATAGCATATGCGAGAAGTGTACATGTATACTAACGCCACGTGGTGAGAAAATTCTTAAATAATGCTTACCAGCCAAAAAATCTTGAACCCCTTAACAACTTTGCCGAAGACAGTAACTTTCTACACAGCTAAAAAAAAGTAGTGTAAATTTCCGTTACTATGATGCACATAAATGGAGCGTCATAAATCATACAAATTTACATTATAAATCGTGTAAATTTATGAGACATGTCATGCAATATTCCATATATTGTATGCAACTTTCCACTTTTGTTTGCAACATTTCTTGCAAGCTGCTAGTTTACGTGAAAAGGAAGTTTGCATGCATGAATGTTTGCATGCATGGATGTTTACATCACCAGTAAAATTCAGATTTTTTTAGTGTGTAGCTGATCAAGATCTCGAGCTATTGAATATGCGAGAAAGCCTTGACCTCCTGAACAACTATGCCGAAGACAGTACCTTTCTATCTGGTTGGGAACTCGAGATATTTTATATGAGTATTTCACATGTATACTAGCTTCGCGTAGTGAGCAAATTCTGAACTATTGAGCACCAAGCAATAGGCTTTGACCTCCTGAAAAACTTTGTGAAAGACAGTAACTTTCTATCTGGTCAGGATCTCGAGATATATCACATACGAGAATTTCACATGTATTCTAGCGCTACGTAGTGAGAAAATTCTGAACTACTCTCCACCAGCGAAAAGGTTATAGTCTCTAGAATAACTTTGCCGAGGACAGTAACTTTCTATCTGGTCAGGATCTCGAGATTTTCCATGTTGTAACCAATTAAGTCAAATCCCACGTAGTACGGACACCGTTTACGCGGTTTCCATTCACATTTTCTCTATTATCCGCATTTTTTGGGGGTTAACTGTGATAAAAGTTTAGCTTGTTTAGTTTAAAACAAGTTTTTTTTAGGAATACTCATTGGTTTCAGATCGATTGGTAACTTAGCAACAAAATGGCAATGGAAAACTCATGTGTGTTGTACAAAGTACAACAGCGCGAGTAACGGAGGGTTAACGGAATTGGGCATGTCCAAAAAAACACAATGGTTGCAAATAATACAGAAGGAATTATGGATCGAATGTTTAAGACCTAGGCAACGAAAAAGGTACTACTATTGGAAACGCTTCCCGCATTATCCACAGACTGCAAGGCTCGTGACGTGCATACATGGATCGAGTGGAATCAGTAAAGGACACCCAGTCCAAGTAACATTGCATGTTTTATCGAGGTTTTAATCCGTTCTACAAGTGATGATGATGGTCCCACCTCTTACCCCTACAAAGGTTTGAGTTGGATGTTTATCTATAAGATAATTAAATATGACAATTTAACCAGGTTTGCAAACAAAAACGAACCGGTTACAGTTACAGATATAAATTCCTTCTAGAGTTTACTGTTGTTTCACAGCGATATAAATGTGGAAAAGCTCAGGCGTCCACCTCTTAGTTCGCCTTTTTGTTATGATAGAATTGCAAATGCACTTTGCCTATCTTTGTAACATTTTAGATGTACCGGATGTCTGGGAATTGGTAGTTGGTCAGGACCCTGTTCACTAAAATATGCTATATAAGTTTGAATCAAAAATAATAGTTGCGGTAGTACTATCTTCTTAACACAGGGAATAAATACACACTACGAAAATGTCATGTAAATTTCGGTGTCATGAGACCGACACATGTAAGCGGCCCTTTTGACATGAGAATCAGTTGAAAGAAACGAGAAAATCAATTCAATAAAACGTTCTCTTCGTCAACTTGCTTATGTTTCGGTTTGAGAAAACTTAATTTTACATGGAATGTTTGTTTACGTTCCATGATTTACGTGCAACATAGATTACGTCTCGTGTAAAATTAGTTATTTCTAAGTGTGTAGGTTTGAATCGTGTGTTAACATAGTAGCAGATTTGCGTCATGTAGCATTATAAGTTATCTGTAAGATCAGTTTCGTACACACTTAGAAAAATAAATGTAAATTTAGGTGCTCTGAGACTGACATATACGAGCGTAAATTTTGATATAAAATTGAGTCATACCAGACGCGAAATTCAGCTCAATCAAACGTAATTTCGAGCTTTTCAATCTTGGAGCACCAAATTTTACATGACATGTTTGTTTACGTCTCATCCTTTATATCAAAGATAGATTCCGTTACGTGTAAGATTATGTATTTCTAAGTGTGTAGTAAAGCTACTTATTCGCTCTTTGCATAACATAAAAAAATCCCTTCTAAACTTTAGATCCCAATTTCTACGAACACTGATGCTTGAGAAACACGAACTAAATGAAATTAGATTATCGCATCAGGGCATACTCACTTGTTGTAAAGTACGATATCCGGTAGCCAGATGTGTTCGGACGGCACGTACAGCTCTGTCACACCGCCGTACTCTGCAGGATCCCATTTAAATTTATGATCCTGCCACTCCTGCAAAGAGGCCACAGAAGAAAAAAGACAGAGGGACACATCATAGGTATACACACATACACACACACATACACACACACATACACACACACACGCTGCCGTTAGAGGAAATTTTCAACATTGCGGTCTAGTCTTTTTCCGTGTGATGTTGTCGTTGTGCCGTTGTTGGCAACAGTGATGGGTGGTGGCGGTGGTGGTTTTGGAATGTTCACACACTAGCATGGCTGTGTGGTCTGCTGGTCATTTGTTGGCCTCATCGGCCAAGCCAGCTGTGAACAGAGGCGAACGCAAGCTCCACCCGCACTCGGTCCACACTTGAACTGGGATGAAAGATCCGGGAAGGGATGGGGTACGAACATAAACATGACATAAATTACGGAGGACAAAGGAGATTGCATGGCACATCGGGATGCTGCATGTCTGGCTTGATTTTTATGCAAACAAAACATGTAACCAGGTGGAAAGGGTAACAGGAACTGGGTATCAAAAATAGTTGGTAGTGTTGTTTGGTGTTGGTCGAAAACATGTCGTGTGACCTATCGATTTGCATCTAGATAAGTGAAATATACGTACGTACGTCGAGGAAGTAGGAACATGAGCTTCAAAGTTTAAGAACTCTTTGTGTATACCAATCACAACATGAACATACTTACATGCTCCAGCCAAATATTGGTGGTCAAGATCTGGTCTTTTAGATTCTGAAATAAAGCAAAAATAATGGTATCGTTACAAATAATTTGCTTGATATTTTCATTTTAGTTTCGTTTGGGTTTCATATGGAAAGTTTATATCTGTTTCTGATTTATGTTTGTAGCCATGATTTCACAATTTTTCTTCTTCTTATTTTTTTTCGAGGTTTTTTACGATTCTTTTGCGAGCGTTTATTCCGGCTCTTAACCTAGTGTTCTAGATACACATTACGCGGATTTCGGAATTTACGCGGTTTTTTTACGCGGATTTCAGAATCTACGCGGTTTATTGTTATACACTGGAGTCGATTTTCACGCGGTTTTTTTACACGTTTTTTTTACGCGGATTTCGGAGTTTACGCGGTTTTTTTACGCGGATTTCAGAATTTTCGTGGTTTTTTTTACGCGGCACGTATCCTCCGCGTAAAAAGCGACTCCAGTGTATAATCATGTTTTTGATTCGAAATCTGGATACAGTTTTCAGATTCAGCGCCCTAAAATTAAGTCAAATAAGTTATTTCACCAATCACAGCACCAGAATAAATATTGATGCTGATAGGATGTTTGGGAACAACTAAAAGTACCATATTTTATAACATGCGGAACATTGTAAATTTAGGGTGGTAAAATGCATCATTTCGTAAAATGCATCGGGGAAACGTTTCAAATATACTATCTCAAACTACCTAATGAAATACAAAACAAATTATCTTATAACAATATCATGACAAAGAATTTTTGAAAAACAAAATTGGCCGGTGTAGTGATTAACTCCACCTCAATGAACAACTTCACCCCGTTTTACGGTACCTATTTTTAATTAATGTGTGCTAGAATTATAAAATTGATATCAGTTAGTTAGTTAGTTATCTTTATTAAGGAGACTTTCAGCCAATATTCAAATCATAAGGGCACCCCAATAAACGAAGAGCCCCAAAAGTAGTTAAGACGGCCTGGCTTATCAGTGCCACTCGCTTGGCCTTCTCTTCTTACACTATCTGCTGTTTCTCCGTATGATATACAATAGATTAACCTTGAATGATTTTCGCAACAGATGTCGCTATTTATCTATTTTGTATGCAGGAACCCGATTTTTTTCCTTGATTTGTTTTCCGTCCATATTCTTTTCCGTACTGAGCACCAATGCTACCAACGCACACTGGGGCAGATCAGTGATTTTCTCGGAAAAAATTAATAACTTTTGAACAAAGCATCCAATCAGAATACTGTCTTCGGTAAAGTTGTTTGTATTAGTTAAGCGCTTCTTTTGAATAAATTAATTGGTTCGCAACTTGGTCGTAGAGATGGCGCGCGAATCTAACTTTTGAATAAAGCATCCTAGACGAATGGTGTTTTCAACAAAGTTTTTTATCTATTAAAATAAAGGAAAGTTGCAGAAGGCATAAAACTTCCATAACCTTTAGTTTCGGAGATATAGGGTGTATTAAAAAATATGATGCCAAAATTCTTATTTGTATTTTTTTTTGTATATTTTCATATGTTTGCTCTGGTTTCTGCATTTATTCCAACGAAAACAAACTAGGTGCAAATTTTCATTGCACTATTTGTGGAATTTATAGTGGTTTTAGGGAAATATTCTCGAAAAACATTATATTTTGCCTCTATTTTAGGTAAGTGGGATTCTCGTAGGGGCAGCTAAGGGCAGCTGGACTTTGTCTCTTTTGCTAGCACATGTCATTGTCTAAAATATACCAGAAAACTGAAGACATGATATTCGATGATTTTTTTTAATTTCACCTTTTGTAAACCGTTACAAGTATCTCTACTAATAAGGAAACCTGTCAGTTATGTATAATCTTTATTCGTTAAACTTTTTAAATTGCAGAAGCAGTAATGGTTTAAAGATTAAACTATCACTTAAGTTGAAGTATTTAGAAATCAGTTATCCTTAATTGTCACTATTTGTTATGCTTGTAATAATGTCAATACCTCGCTATTTTTTTTTTATTAATTGGGCTGAATTTTTCTTCGGTCTTTTTCGCAGACTTGTAATTAATGGATCTGGTTGTAAAAATAGTTTGATGTGCTTGTGTGATCTATTATCTTTACTAAAATTAATTTTGAGACACCACTAAACGAAATGCATGTTGAGCATATGGCATAGAATAAACAACTGTTGAAAATTTACATTGAAGGTGAATCCATTATAGCAACTTTGTGGATTATTGCTCAACACCGGAAATTGATTGCTGAACTGAGACGAGAAAAAAATTTACTCTTATGGATACCAACTACTGAAACATTGACGCACATTAATAATTCTCGATTACTTTTTCGAAGAGATGTATCAGCTTTGTAAACAATGCATTTGATCGTCGGTTTGGCGCAACTGGTAGCTCGCTCACGTATATTAACACTACCATCAGATAGGGGAAAGTTTCTCCTGCATGATAGTGGTGTTAGTATGCGTGAATGAGCTACCAGTTACACCAAACCGACGATCAAATGCATTGTTTACAAAAGCTGATACGTCTCTTCGAAAAAGTAATCGATAATTGTACGTTGTACACGATCACGTTGGCACGGCAGCACACAGCTTGTACGATGATGTCACATATACAACTTTACCTGGGTAATGCAGCTGATTACGTATACATGGTGGAAAGGGACGGATAATCGTGTAGTAAGCAGAGAGTCAAAAGCAGATGATAGTACCAAAAACATGGCCGCCAGCCAGGCCCCTGGTTCGCTGGCAGCTCATAATAAGTAAACAATCTCAAAATTCAGCACAGTATTTAAAAATGGTGACATGTCAAAAATTTATATAATGTTTTTCATTATGTGAAACAGTTCATTTCAATGTAAAGGATGTTTATATCGGTATACCTAAAGTGAAATTTAAAAAAATCATCGAATATCATGTCTGCAGTTTTCTGGTATATGTTAGACAATGACATGAGCTAGCAAAAGAGACAAAGTCCAGCTGCCCTTAGCTGCCCTTTCGAGAATCCCACCCACCTAAAATAGAGGCAAAATATAATGTTTTTCGAGAATATTTCACTAAAACCACTATAAATTCCACAAATAGTTCAATGAAAATTCGCACCTAGTTTGTTTTCGTTGGAATAAATGCAGAAACCAGAGCAAACATATGAAAATATACAAAAACATTACAAATAAGAATTTTGGCATCATATTTTTCAATACACCCTATATCTCCGAAACTAAAGGTTATGGAAGTTTTATGTCTTCTGCAACTTTCCTTCATTTTAATAGATAAAAAACTTTGTTGAAAACACCATACGTCTAGGATGCTTTATTCAAAAGTTAGATTCGCGCGCCATCTCTACGACCAAGTTGCGAACTAATTAATTTATTCAAAAAAAGCGCTTAACTAATACAAACAACTTTACCGAAGACAGTATTCTGATTGGATGCTTTGTTCAAAAGTTATTAATTTTTTCCGAGAAAATCACTGATCTGCCCCAGTGTGCAACGCCAGGGAGCATAAACTCATGAACTGGAGACCAACGGCCTTGCTTCCCTCCGTGATTACCCGAAAAAAAATAATTATAATAAAACAACGAAATTACAATGATTTTTATTGTTGAATTTTGAGTACATTAAAATTTATTGTTAAATTATTGTACGGAAGAAAAAATAGATTTCGATTTTTAACGATACAATGCTCAAACAACGAAAATTAGTGTGATGAGATCAAATTTGTTTGAAAAAATCACTTTTTTATATTGTTAAGATGCTTAACAACCCCCCTTTTTTACTGTAAATTTGTCAAATACCATGATTTTCATTGTTGTGAACCATGAATTTTGTTGTGATTTTATGGTAATGGAAAAAAATGTCCAATGTTTTGACAGTAAATATCATGGTTACAAGGACAATGGAAATCATTGTAATTTTATTTGATTTTTTTAAGGGTAGAGAGGTTATGCCTCAGAATATCCCGGCGGCGCCGACTGGGATTGAACCCAGGCCTGCTGGGGTGAGAGGTAATCACGCTTACTACTACACTACCGGTACCACTACCGATTTTTTTTTTTATATTTTCGAAGTTAGAACCTTTAATGAAATAAATATTATGAACAAGTGGTAGCTTATATTTTTTACTGAACTGGCTTACCAAGTATCTTTTTCTGTGTTTGCTTCTAAAATTGATGTTTTTGAAAAAAGGTTCAAATCTCTATTTATATTTTCTATTGAATAACTTTTGACGCCATGCTGTCAGTAGTGGTGAGATTACAACTAACAGCTTACTTTAACCCATTCAAAATTTGTAAAAGCAATACGTGTCATTTCGATGCTTGTAAATTAGTGGCTGCTGTTTCTGAGCATCGGTTGTTTCTTCTGTGTTTTTTATTATCCATGCATTGGTTGATCCATTTATAACTTAACCAATACGTACTACAACTGCTCTGATCTTCGTTCCGTTGTTCCAGTCCTTCCGCTTTCGATGCCAATAAATTTTTAAAAGAAACACATTTTTTTGCTCTCTTGATTGAATATATTGCCTTATCTATTGAAGACACCTGTGTACATGTCAAGGTCCATGTCCGCAGGGAATTTCTCCCGAATGACACGTTTCACATTACCGTATTTCTCCAGCACCACCACTAGAAGTGGTTTTCTCCTGAGCAATTCGGCAAGTAGCTACTATCTGAACAGAATCCGCATCACCGCATCTAGTGCTTTCATGAAATTGGCAATTGCACCAATAGTCGGTTTCGCACTTTCTTTTGCAATGCTGAATTTGATCGTGAACGTTATTTTCACGGACGTCTCCGGTTGTTTACTTCCAACTGCAACGACAAAAGCGAACAAGCTGCAGACAATGAACAAGCACCACAACAAAGGTGCTATCGAATAAACAGACTATCGCATGATCCACACTGTAAACACAGCTGCTGCCGTTGACAGTTAATAGCACACTAAGAGCATTGTTGAGGTGGTAACAGAAGATTTGACGCTATCTGCGTTGTTTGATTTTTTCTTCCTGTCCAGAAATTTGTGGCATCGCGAGCGATAATTTT